TGTAATGAATAAGATGTATGAATGAATGAATAAATGAATGAATGAGTGAATGATTGAATGGTTTAAGCGAGTGATTGATTGAGTAAATGTGAATGGTGCAGTGTTCAAGTGAATGCGTAGAAATCATCCCGAAATATTGCAGTTGGAGGCACGCCCATTTCCTTGTGTTCCTAGAACCAGAAAAGTTTCATTTTTCATTTTCTTCTATAGAAGAGTTCACTGTGTATGCTACAGTATCTAGATTTTTTTGTTGGGTTGCCTGATCCTTCGCTGCGGAATTCCTTCAGGTGCAATCACGCCCTCGCGAGATTAGATATGAGGTCATGATATGCTCATTTCATCTATGTTAATTAGATATGTGTGGAAGGTGGTCGGTTACCTGTCCAATCGATAAGGCTTGCATAATTCCCAGAGCATTTGTTTATCAACACCCTCTCGTCATAGCATAGAGCCGGCTGGCTATTCAGCTGACCTCATCCCAAGCGTGAGCATCGATACCCGCGCATACCTGCATCTGCAGCTAAATGTGAAGGCATCCTCATCTCCTAATTTTACATGGAATCTCCTAGATATATGGTTCCTAATAGACCAATTAGAGCTATAGATCACAGTAAACGTAAGATTTTCCTGCAAATGTTGAGTTTTTTATCAAAAGTTTTTATTTAGGCCCCCCTCCAGCCTATCGTAGCACGAGTGGTACGATAACAGAAACCGACACATGGAGTGATTATTCAGCCTCATCAGGTTAATGCTGGCTAATTTTGAAGATTTGGCTAAGTGAAGGATGAAATTCTATTCTGTAGGACTCGGCAAACGACGTGGTAGCTGGGTGAATCTAGTAGAGTCCGATGAAAACCTCAACAGACACAAAGTGAACTGCTATCCAAAAGTGAAGAAGGTTAGTGTTTTGACTATGGGGCAGATTTCTTACTTTTATCGTTATATTTATGAAATCGGCATTATTGTGATTTGAAGCATATGTATGTAATAGGCGTTGTAAAACGATGTTTAAAAAATCCTCAAATTTCTTCTATCATACGAATTTTGTCCCAATTTTTCAAAGATTTCGACGTTTGCTTCAATCACTCCCGTCTAGCTACATGCTGCTAATCTCATTCATATTAATCTTCATAGTAATTTATAAAAAAGAAAGCTTTTCCAGTGCAGTGTTCCACGATCTCCTGTGAACTCGTCTATAAGTATAGCTCAAATCGACTTTTAAAATAACGCATTTAGAGAGAACCAACTGTAGCAACTTTTTTTGAATCCAAATAATTATTGCGATAACCTTTTATTGGAAATCTTTTTACCAACGTTGATTTTGCGGTCTAGCCGTATATTTCTAAGATTTATTGTCTCTTTTAAGCTATTTTTTCTCGATTATGTAACCACTGGATAAAGCAGAAAATTATTGAGCTCAGATTCTTTTAATTTCTCCCTGAAGATTAATTTCGTAGCGGCAGTCAAAAAAATGGAGAAAAACTTGAAATTGAATTCATTTTCCGTTTTATTCCTTCAAAACACCAAAATTACAGGCTTCTAAATGCGTTTTTAAGACTTATATAGAATTCCCAGCTAAATCATTGAACTAGTTCTTCTTATGCTTGGCATTTGTCTC